TAGACACAGTAGGCCCTCCTAACTCCTTGCCTCTGAATTACCTCCAGCTTCCTGTCCCTATCTACCTCCATCAAATGTGCCATAGGCTTGCTTGTCAGCTACTGAATCCAGACTAAATTTTCATCTGTGGTGAGTATATTAGCAGGTGTTCTACACTGTGGTAAGAGAAGGAGACGTATGTAGGTGTCACATGGTAGAAAAATGTTTGTTAATCAAAAGTCTTGAATAGCTAATGACAAGGACAGTTACTGGACAAAACTGAATACAGGCAGTCCCCGGGTTACGTACAAGATAGGGACTGTAGGTTTGTTCTTAAGTTGAATTTGTATGTAAGTCGGAACTGGTACATATTGTAGGGGAAACTCTAGCCAAACATTTCTCCAGAGCTCAGTTTTATTCTCCCACACCTCACTTCCCTCAGCCCTTTATTCTCAAGCTGAAGTGTCTGCTGAGAAAAGCCGCTCCACCTCTCCCTGGTCTGCTGGGCGGGGGGAGGGGGACGCGCTAGCTTCGCATCTCCCTAGTCTGCTGGGGGGAAGTAGCTAGTGCGGGGGTGCCTCACCCCGGTTGTATCCATGTAACCCGGGGACTGCCTGTATATCTAAATGGATTAGCTTGAGAGAGATATTCAGATTTCACTTGGCAAATTTTTGAAAACTATCCTATTGTGCCAATTATTTGCAGGCAAAACCTGTAGTTCTTAATCCACATGCCAGAACCCCCCCCCCTTTTGACTTCTCTGGGAGAACTCTGGTTACAAGTAAATAACCATCATTTCTTTTCATTGGTTTAAAAAACACATGCTGGTATATCAGAAAAGAGAAGGTTGGGCTGGGGGGAGGGGAGGCATTCTCTGGATCTTCATCTTGAAAAGTAATTCCTGACTGTTTTGTATATATTTTTTTAAGAGCAGGGTCTGGTCCTTGTTCTGGCCAACTGAGCTGATTATGAGTTGATCCCTGGCTTGCTGCCCTCCCTGTGAGGAGTCAATCAGGTCAAGAGAACTGGACAGATGCACTTTGATATAACTATGAAAGGGAGGGTGCAGATAAGCAACCGAGTCTGAGTGATATAACATCTTTTGGAGAGAACCAGAACCTGAAGTTCTTCAGGATGGACTCTGAACATTCACACTCTTGGGGATGCACTGAGTATGTCCAGCCAGGATGGTGGAATCTTCTATTTTTAGGGCTACTCCTTCTTCCCCCACCCCGAGCACACAAGTGTATTCTGAGTTCATGGTCATAGGAGGGGCATAGCATGCATTTCTATCTCTGTTTCTTCTAATCACTAAAGCAGAATATAAATTAAGAGGTGGGAAGAGAGAGTGAATATTCAGAATCCATCTTGAAGAATTCTAGTTCCAAGTAAGCAACCTTTATAATGCCTCGAAAGCGTGCACTCTCAGAGCAGCTAGGAGCTTCTCTGCAACACTCTTGAAAACACAGTCTGACCCTCTTTAAGAAGGATTGTGGTGAAATGGCCTGACCTTTAAAAGGAACAGTATGGGAGAAGACCTAACGCTCTTAGTTCTGTCCAAGTAGAATGAGAGCACGCGCTTCACAGCTAAGTAACATAATCTAGATTCCCCTTTAGTTGTAAGAGTTTTGGGGAAAAAATAGGTAAATTCATACTTGGATTTCTATAAAATTCTGAAACCTCCTTTGGAAAGAATTTAGGGTTTAATCTAAGAGCCACCTTATTTTTATAAATGGAAGTATTGGGGAGTCTACCATCAATGCATGTACCTCACAAACACTTCTGGCAGAAATTACTGTTATTATAAAGGCTGTCTTCACAGAGGCTTTGTCTACATTGCAGGGTTTTTGCACAAGAAGCTTTTTGCAGATGTGCTTTTGCGCAAGAGAGCATCCAAACTGCATGGACCCTCTTGCACAAGAAACCCCTGTTGAGCATCCACGCACATCCTTTTGCACAAGGACTGTTGTGCAAAAAGGAGTTATGCCTCATAACAGGAGGTATGCTTACACCACAAAAAGACCTCTGTTCTGTCGATTGATTGTAGATTTTCTTGTGCAAAAACGCATGTGAGGTGTGGACACTCCATGGGTTTTTGCGCAAAAATGCCTGGTTTTACGCAAAAACCCTGTAGTGTAGCAATAGCCAGAGAGATGAACCAAAGAACAGCTGAACAGTGGTCCAAACAGCAGAGACCTCAACTAAATTCAAATCTATGGAGGGATGGGATCTAAAATTGGGGGATATAAATTCAATAAAAAGGTTTTCACTATCTTGTTTGAGTATTCTGGATTTACCATCAATGTGTGTATGGA